TTTCACGCCGCCCCCTCCCGAGCGCGACTCTACGCCGTTCGGTGAATCAGCGCGACCCAGCACGTGTTCGCGACTGCCTCCAGCCCGCGCATCCATCCAGCGAAACACTCCGAAACCTCCGCACTCGCCGCGTCACCTCAGCAACTTGCAGATAGCAACTCTGCGGAAGCGCCGACTTGACATCCGTGGCGACTTGTAGCATCTGACATTAGGTGATTATCCCCAACTTTTCTTAGCTCTCATGTCGCATGTGGAAGACAGCGGGCGTCCGGCCGGGCTCGACTCGCAGCAGTCGGCGCCGCTTACGCCCACGTCCTTGTTTGGATCAGACCAAGAACACCTTTCTGACATTGAGTCTTGCGCCACTTCAGTTCCGGAAACTGTTATGGCAGAGCAGGTTGCCAACGATGTGGTAAAGGAAGCACAGTCGGTGGGTCGTTCTGCGCCCATCGACGACTCTGCGTCAACTACCAACACCCCCGCCGTCAACGGCGAACCGCCCTCGGGCACAGCGACCACGAAACCGACCCCACGAGAAGCGTCTCCTACGAAACCCACTGTGAACGGCACAGGTGCACCCGCCACTGGTAGTGCACACGTGTCAGACAAGGCCGGTGGAGATGCGGCAGCTGTAAGTAGCGAGGAAGAGCCATCGGGACGTGGTGTTAATAGTAGTAGGGCGAGAACAAGCAGTCGGATGCATCACGGCACGATTCGAAACAACCCCACCTCAATGGCCTCTCGAGCGAACATCTGGCGGCGGAGTCGCAAGCTGTGGCAGATGCGAGTGGTGGCTCAGATACCGACATCAGCCGTCCAGGAAGCGTCGACCAGTCCAAGCGCGACGGAGTTCACGTGCGGACTAACTCAGCAGCCAAGAAGCAGCCGTTCAAGTCAGTATCTGTGACCAAGAGCTTTCTGGCCAAGACCGTTCCGACCACGCCTGCTGCACGACCAGGGGAGAAAGCAGCCCCGGCAGCGCCACCCAAGACGTCGATTCTCACCGCGAAGCCCCGCCTCGTAGCGAAATCCGGCGCTGGCAACGCCCCGCGTGCGCTGGGACAGACCAATGGCGCGGGTGCAGGCCCAGATGCGAGCAAAGTCTGGAATAAGAACCAGCCCGTCCCAACCCCTCCGCCCAAAACCTTCACCGACGAAGAACTGAAGCAGCAGTACGGTATACATCTTGCAACACGCCTACAAGCTGATGAAGGAGGCAAGGAGGCCAAGTGGGCAGACATTGACGATGACGAGGAAGACTGGACCCCGGAAGCAGTGCAATGGATGGATGGAACCAAGTCCTCGGTTGCGGTGCCACCGGAGACGCAACCGCCGCCCGCCGAAGAGCCCAAGACTATCCTCAAGCCTGAGACGCCCGCCGAAACACCCAAGCCTACCACGTCCCCAGCTCCAGCCACCAACGCACCCAAACTGAGCGTCACTGGTGGTGCCAAAACCATCTTGAAGCCTGGTGCGCACACGCAGCCCAGCACTGGAAAGTCGAGCCTGGTCCTCAAGGGTCAGCCAGAAAGACCAACTCTAGTAGCCAAGCCATCAGCGACTGAGAAGAAGTCACCATGGGCGCCTCTGCCCCCAGTCGAGAAGGTGTCGCCGATACAAATCAATCCCCCTGCGCAGCAACCACCCCCACAGCGTTACACACAGCGCGATTCCTATGGTTACGACTCCATGCCCCCACCTCCCGCGAAGGAGATCGCCCCCGATGACTTTAATCGCAACTGGCGCAACGAAAGCGGCGGCCGAGATACTAGAGACGGCCGGGAATTGTTCAATTCGCAAAGTGGTCGTTACGAGCCTGTACACAATGACATGCGGCGGGGTTCTGGACGAGATGCTGGCGGTGGTTACCGGCAGCAGCCGTCCGCCGTGCTACAGAGGCCTTCTCAGGACGGCGGCCCAGCAGAGCCCTCAGCGGCGTTCCAGACTTCACGGGCAAGCGCGGATGGTCCTACTTGGGGCAGGAGGAGGAACTCGTCCAACGTTAGTGGAACTATGCCTAGGCGCATGTCGATGGACCCACGGGGAGTAGACATGCCTACTGGTCCCATGAACATGGAGCGACGCGAATCGCACTCGATCAACGGTGTGGACCCTTCGGATCCTGCAGCTTCCAGACAGTCGCCATTCCAGCAGATGAAGTCTCCGAACGTTCCTCATGCACACCCGGCTTCACCCTATGGCTCAGCAACCTCAGCTGTACAAGATGCACCCGCGCCTACACCAGCACCACCAGCAGAGAACCCAGTCGAGGTACAGAAACGTTTGATGGCTGAGAAGATCGAGCGCGCTCGTCTCAAGAAACAGCAGGATGCGGAAGCCGAGAAGCAGGCAGAGGCAGAGAGGAAAGAACGTCTTGCTAAGAAGTTGGCCGCTATGGGACCGCCTGAACCCAAGCCCAAAAACAAGGATCAGTCGCCTACACGCCCAGAGCAGTCCCCACAGAAAGACAAGGCTGCTCCTGCGCCATTGCAATCACCGCCAAAACCACCTGTACCGACTGCCGAGGGTGAGGTTACACAGTATGGGATGATGAAGGTCCATCAGTCTCACCCGGTGAAAAGATCGCCTCAGGCGAGCCATGCTCAAGCAAATCCCTCACCAGTGACTGCTCCTTCATCACTTAACCAGCAATCGACGCCGCCGTTTGACGCCTTCACTCGTGACAACGAAAAGTCTCGGCTGTCAACTGAACAATCTCAAGCCATCGCTCACCAATCAGACGGCGCTATCCCTTCTGGGCCTAGGCCGCAGGCACCTCCGACCTGGTCGCAGTCTTCTTCTACAGCGCCTCAACCCAGACCTTGGACATCACAAGTTTGGGGTCCTCCCGGCGCAAAAGATCGAGCTCTTGGTAACGGTACCTTCGACTCCGATTACAGAGGCCAGTCTCGCCCCGGTGCCCAGCAGCAACTTCCTGTTCAGTCACCTGCCGCGACAGCTCCCATTGGCACAGGCCTAGCTCCTCAAGCCTTGACATCACACCCATCAAGACAGTTGCCTCCGTCGCAACCCATGTACTCGCAGCGATCGTCGCGTGCCCAAAACGCTGCGGCGGCTCGGGCGGCTAGACCACCCCCAAGGAACGTCACTGGCGGCGGTTGGGATACATTTGGTGAACTTATCAAAAAGGATGACCAGGACCTCGCAGTGAAGAATGCTCAAGATCGAGAACGCCAGGGCGAATTCCGTCCCGAGCTTCGAGAGGTATACAAAGATCAGCGTGGGCAAGCACAAGTGACGCTGCATGACAAGGTCGCCGCCGAACTGGCTCTTGCCGAGGCATTGAAAAAGGACGATACTACGAAGCCTTTGGCTGAAGGTTCGTCGCCTCAGCAAGGTCTGACTCAAGGTCCTCTCCAGCAGGCTACTGGTCCTCGCGCATCGCGCTTCTTCCCTCGTCCGACTGAGACCTCAACAGAGGCGACGGCGTCTCCGTCGACCTTTGTGTCAAGCAAAGCAGACTCGCCTCCTCCGCCTCCCGAGACAGAGACACACCCTGCTTTCAGCAGTGAAGCCGGCCACCCATTGGTGAGGCTTCCAAAGCCCTCGCCTGTCGTGCGACTTCCACCGTCAGCAGCTGGTAACGGGACGTCCGCTGCTTCTCACGTAAACATGCCGTCGCGCGGCCAAGCTCTAGGCGCCAGACCTCTCGCAATGAACCCGGAGTGGCAGGCAAGGTTTAACAAGCTCCTCGACAAGCCAGGTTCCAACCGTTCATCAACCCTTCCGAGCACGTCTCCAATGCTGCCAGTCGCTACTCCACAGCAAGGTGCGGTTGCCCCGGCTGCCTTGTCCAAGGCTTCTCTAGACGTTCGAGGAAATACTGGTCCTGCAACTGTGTCATTGCCCAGCGCGTCCCCGACGAGAATCTTTGCAGATGATCGTGGTGCAGACGCTGTCACTCGCGGTGATACTGAGGCTCTGTTTGAAGACAGGGAATTCGGTTCGCTGCCCACTGTCAAGCTGTCCAAGGTCCCGCACCTCGCAGCCAATCAACCACCGAAGGCCGCGCCTAGAGATGAGCAGCACCCAAGGCATAAGAAGCTGGAGAACCCGTTCACCATTCGCCGCCTCGAGGCGTTTGACATCGAGAAGACCACACAGAACAGGCTAAAGTTCGACGTTGTTGTGCGCCTCGCAAACATGCGTGAGCCTGTCACTAAGTCGGTCCAGCGGAAGCACTACGGCCCAAAGCTCAACCGGCAGCCGAAGACCAAAGCGACTGGTACGCCGAGCACCACTTCTACCAACAGTGCGAAGGATCGCCCGCGCAAGCCCTCGCACCAAAGTCAGACGGATCGTTCTTACAACAACAGCTCTTCGCGCCCGTCTGCTCCCAAGACTTGGTCCACCAGCAACAACAATGCTCCTCGCTCATCCCCAGCTCACACAGCTACAACTTGGGCTAAGGTTGCAACGGCCTAAGTGTCGTCCACAGTCTCCCTCGTTAGCTTCAACCACTGCTACAAGGAATGTCCTTCTCGTTCGACCACTGTCGCCGCACATGTATAGGACTGTCTGGTAACTCTTCGAAGTGCTTACCCTGGTCACTCTACGTACTGTTCTCATCGCAGCACACCATTTCACTCTTCTTCCTCTTCAACAGCAGTATATATCGCGGCATCTTGTACCACAACGGTTTGAGTGGATCACAGGGTCGCTTTTCTTGGGAGGCAGTGTACTCCCGATCTTTCTTCCACTGGACTCCAAGTCCTCATTTCTTGCTTTGGCGCGACATCACTTTCGGGGTCAGCATGTTTTTCTTTCCTTAGACCTTCGTTCATCTCCTTGCCATGACCGGCGTCAGGACGCGAGTATGGGTATTGACAGCTACGACGGGCCATGACCTCGTGGATGCGGAAATGGGATGACGATAGAGGATTTCGTGTACTGCTAATAATACTTCTGAAACTTCATACTGCTTTACCCTGCTGTTCTTGTGATGGCGAACTACTCTTCCTCTGCTTGGAAATATAGGACTATGCATCTAATTGCCTCACCGGAAAGTTGACGGCTTCAAGATTTGTTCCTCCAACCTGCTTGCCACTCGCTGCAGTGATCAGCCCATCCAGCCAATCTTGGTGTCCTAGGAGCATCTTGTTCGGCTTCTGCTCCTCCCATTCCTTGAAAATCTGCCCAATCTGACTCTCCTGTGTCAAAATCCTCACCCTCTGCCCCTCCAGATCCTCCACAACCCACGCATGATAAATCTCCAACCCATCCGGCGTCTTGGAGCTCCACGCCAACCTGCCCGCGCGCCCGTTACTCTCCGGCGGCTCCGACTCCTCGACCGTGCAGGTCAGCGGGGGGAAACCGAAAGTGCTGAATTTGAAGACGTCGCCTTTGTGCAGGAAGGTGCTGTCGGATGACGGAGGAGTGATTTGAGCGCAGTTCTTGTAGTAGGACTCCCATTTTGAGATGTTGGCTAGTAGGGCCCAGATTTGTGTGCTGGTAAGGTCTTTGGCGATGCGCTCGTTGGAGACGAAGTTGTCGGTTGTGCCTGGGAGGAAGTGCGATGGCCAGCTGATTGCGGATTGGGTCGCCATGTTGTGAACAGAGTGTTTTTTGGAGATGACCTGCTGATTGTACGTATATTTATGTATAAATCGATATAGCAGGATGTAGATGGAGGTTGCAGGTAGATACTTGACAGTTCATGCATCGATGGATATCGTTGACGCTAACATGTGGCGCTTGTACATCATTGTCAGAACGGGCTGGAATAGACGCAGTAGTAGTAGTAGTACATCATTGCGCATGGGAAAGACTACATCCGCGAGGATCCACAACTACATTGATTTGTCACCTTTGAACCTGAGCGGGAATGCTTTTAGCAGGATTTTGCGCATTTCATTCATTTCTCGGGAAAACGATCGTGGCTCAAGGTATTATGCGGGGATCGACCAGCCGACGTCATCATTAGAGCTAGACTCCCAGGCACCCAGGCAAGCACTTTGCCAACAAATCTATTACAGTCACGAGACTCTACTCACATGAAACCCATGGCAACAACTTGGGGACTTTGAAGAAAGTACAAGTATTTTGCTGACAACATGCTGTCACTGTGCTGGTGGCTTGAAGTAACCTTGGAACGTTATGCATCTTCGTTGATCAAGACCGCATTGTCGAAAATCGTTTCCGTAGAAATACTAACCAGTTCATCAGTCACATTATTGAACTGCATTCCATTCCCGGCCATTGCTTTTACGCATGTATCGTTTCTCATACAATCCTCAGTACCCCGCATGTGCCTCCCTGACGGGCAAAGACGAATGCCACCCTCTCTCAAGACGAAGGTCTCAACAACAACGTCAGAGCCAATGCGGTTGTATCCTTGTTTTTCAACCTCTCTAGGGTTGCTGACTTCCTGGATGACGGATACTGCTCCAAGATACCTTCTCTGCTGGATCCAGTCCCGCAGTCCCTCCAACAAGAAGTAGTCTGCCTCTGCCTCGACCCGGCTGTAGAGCGCATAGTCGAAACCGTCTTTTTTTGTCCAGTAAAGCGGAAACCTGGAAGGCCGACGCATAAAGCTGAGTAGATGCTCGAATGTATCTGCATCCGCGTCGACGTAGTACGAGCCGTCAGCCTGGAGGTCCGCGCCGTCTTCCCAGCGATTGAGTAGACCCTCAAAATAAGGCGAGACCGAGAGGACTGATTTGGACGTGCGAAATTTGCGACCGGATACGTCGAGCGTGATCTGATTGTTTGCCATGATGGGAAGAGATGGAAATATACGAGCCGGAGAGGAGGCGGTATTGGAGAGGGGCCATGTCAGCTTTTGCGCTATGAAACGTGTGCAAGACCCTGGCTTCACGGTGCGACATCGCGTAATACCCTGTTTTTGAAAGAAACAGGCGATCCGAGCAAAGTCACATGATGTGTTTGGCATACTAGCTAAAAACCCGCAGTGAAATCACATGATGCTTCTGGTGAGATGCCATACTATATGCTAGATAAGAGCAATATCGCAGATCGATCTCATCAGAGTCCATCGTCGCAGGCCATGAGAGCTCCTACCACGCAACTACATACTTGAAGCACCTTACATCCAACTGCCCAGAACGACCCAGGGTAACTGCATCATCGTTACTTAGTCCGTATTCATTGAAACCGGCTCATCTCGTGATCTGTTCCAGCGCTCACCCACAGCCACTCATCATCGTCTTTCGAGATGTCCTTATCATGATCATAAGCATGGGGCCCATAGATGTGAGTTGCAAATGCGGGAATGTTGCTATCAACAGGATTATGTGGCCGAGGATATTGGCAATGGCAAGTTGTGTCCAAACACTGCGATGGCTGCGTTGACACTGCTTGCGCTGGTAGCGTGTACTGCGTTTCCAAGTACCTTGCATCGTGATTTGGTAGGTAATATTGTGGCTGAACGTGAAGCCACGACGTTGGCTCCGCAGGGAGCGAATAGTTCGTCTCGTGGCCTGAACCCCAATTGTGGAGTCCCTCGCAGTTGCAAACGTTGTGACCCGTCTCGTCGGAAGTCACTCGAGGAAGACCAAGGCCTGGATGCTCGTATAGGAACTGATCGAAAGATTGACTCATGTGGGGTTCTGGAGAAATTGCGAAGGACCCCTCGTATGGGTTGTGACAGTGAGCAGCCAAGGACGGGTGGTTAGCCACGTGGGCTGGGATAGTCTGCTGCGATGAAGATGGTACCATGCTGGACTGAAGTTGGATCGTCTCCACAGGTCGCCTTCCGTCGATATGAAAGGATTCCTCCGAGATGGGGATGCGCATGTCTGATGCAGATTGTGCTTTGATGCGCGTAGTGTCGAAATTGTGGTTGACGTTTCCCCCATCAAAACCTGGTCTTGAAGCTTCTGATGTGCTAACCTGGGCTGCAAAGTCGACTAAGAAATCGAGAGCGTTCATGCTGCCGGATGACCAAAAAGAGCTTCGAGAAGATAGAGGACTAGAGAAGAGTTCAGATGTAGTCCTTGCCAGCGCGCCCTGATATCGTGACTGTTAACATTGATCTTCGAGGGGAGATGTCGCACTGATGGTACTCGCACCAAACGGGTGTAGCAGTGCATCGTGTTGTTGCACCCGTGAGGGAACAACCTATCGGAAGCAAACCCATTGTCTGAACAGTTGTGATGATGCGATGTGATGGATCAGAAACAGTCTGATGCATTAGGAGATGTGTGAGCCGTGCCCCTTCCTGAGTTAATATCCTCAGTTCTTATCGAAGCTCCTATCACAAGAACAGCATAAATGCACAACACCTGGGCAGTCTCGTGGAACCAATAGTCAGATGTATCGCACGGCTGCACGACTGCCTTTGTGTAGAACTCCCTGTGGGGGACTAGAATTGTTTCAGTGGAGGGCAGACCCCCGAGTTCCTTTGGAATTCGATTAACTACGTTGCCTGTAGTAAGATATGCATTGGTACTTGTGGTGGTGCGACCATCTTGTGTATGCCCGAAAAAGCACAGGTTGAGAGACGAGATGAATCCACCGGACAGCAGCGATGCGCTGGTGCTGCCAGACAGCTGAGGGCTGCTACGCCAGATGATACGAATTTACTGTGTCTTCGCTCTGCGCACAGGAAATGGTGGTCAATATTGGCGTGCAGTCAGTAGATGCATGACGTGGTATTATCTGTTGAAGAGTCGAATCACCCCTCCCCAGGTTGGTCACGCCCGCCCGGTGCATGAGCTTGCCGCTAGCGTGGGCACTTGTTGACAATCCGAGCCCACTCATTCCCTCCGCATCGAGCAATGCGCGCAGCGCGACGCGTTCAATGTGTCGCTTCGAGCTCTTGAGCTTGATCATTGTTTTTTTCGAGCGACTGGCGGCACGGAAGAAACGGTTCCGCGCACCCAGCGACCTGCCAGCGCCGCGACCATGCTCCACGAAATCCTCCTCTCGCTCTCCGGACACCCATCGGCGCTGTTCGATGCCCCGGACCACGTGACAGCAACTGCGCGTCGCCTACTGTCACCGCCCGAAGCAGAGCTACTATCTTCAATCGGTCATCTGTCGCGTCTGCATCGAAGCACACGCGATCATGTCGCTAGAATCGCCGCGTCACATCCCTCAGTCATCTGCAGGGCGGTCGCTACTTCGATTACCTCTTACCATCTCGAACGGTTCCAATGCAAGGTACTGGAAGTCGAAAGCCGTGTGTTGAAACAAGATGCTTCCATCGTGGGTGCATACAACATCGTACCACTGGCTGGGATAGTGAGCGAGTTCTCGGAATGGACCAGGGTGATGGAATGGCTACGGGATATCAGCAACTACATGTTACCCTCGGACGTTCCTGCGAAGTTCGAAATGATGATCGGAAAGGCTGCCTCTGGAGCTGCCGTCATCGACAAGCTGCGAAGCGAGGCACAGACAGGCTATCCGGACATCGAAGAGACTGCCCGGGGTCTGAGCAAAGTCGCAGAGACATCGTGGCTACGGCAGCTATCAACCTGGCTGCTGTACGGTCGCCTTCCATCGTTTGGTCGTTCCGACTTCTTCATCCAGCAAGGTGACGAGGATGCAGATGAGCAAGTCTTCGTCCTTCAGAACAAGCTGCTACCAAAGTTTGTCACAAGGCAAACGGCTCTCTCCATCCTGTTCGTCGGACGATCGCTAAATCAGATCCGCGCATTGCCCTCAGCCGTGAAGGCGTTAGATACATCCAATTCGGTCTCGGAACTTGATCTGCTTCCTAAGCACGTTCAACAACTCTCTCGAGTGAGTGCACCGGTGTCAACGGCCATGCTCTCGGAGGCAATTGCCAACATCCGCCTCTCGCTGTCTCGGAATCTTCTACAACACTTGTTACCTCGTGAGAAGATTGTTGAGACATTGACAGTTCTACATCAATTCTTCTTGCTAGGAAGAGGAGAGTTCGCCCTGACACTGATTGCAGAAGCAGATGATAAGATATTATCTCGACATAAAGGGTCGCAGCCCACCAAGTCTGGCCAATCTGTTAAGGCAGTTGTGATCAAGGAAGCGGAGATTAGCCAGGTCCTCGCACGGTCCTTCTCCGTTCTGTCCACCTTATCTAGTGAGGACGAACACACAGATGATATCCTGGACGTTGCAACTCAGCTCCTACATCTCAGCGTTAACGGCTCGTCTAATAACCGCCCTGGGACACCGGGCCGCGCTAAGGACGCGGACTCGATGCTTCCACAACTTGCCATCATGTCTTTCGACGACCTACTGCTGTCTGTACCAACGTCTTTAACGATGGACATCCGTTCACCACTTGACCTCTTCATAACAAAAGCAGACCTTGACGTTTACTCATCGATCAATGCTTCCCTTCTCGCAGTCCGGAGAGCACATCTGCATTTAGCAGAACTATGGCGATACAGTTCAATACGGAGAGACCATCCTTGTCCGCCTGGATATCAATACAGCAATTCCGCGCATGGTAAAGCAATGCTGAAGCGGCGACGACAACGCACTACGAAACGGGCTCAGGACATGCGGAAGATATGGGCGACATGCGCAGCCGCCATCTTCTTCTTTGCGGAGAGCGAAGCTTACTTTCATGGTGCGGTCGTACAACAATCCTTCGGTCATTTCATAGCATGGGTTACCGGTCCTCAAGTTCCTTCAACCGCGGAATCATTGCCAGCAGCTTCCGACAATTTGAGTGCCACTGGCTTCCGCAGGTCGACGACAGAAGAAAGCATACGGCAACAGCATGATCCAGAGGCATTGACCTCAGCACATCGCCGCTTTCTGTCTTCGGTCGCGTACTCACTTCTGCTTACCGATCAAGCTTTCACAAAAGCGCTGCGTACCGTGTGCACCCACGTAGACGAGTTAGTGGCATACATCAAGCGTCTTACAAAGATCCAGCAGAACCTGGATCTGGAAGAAGATGAAGGTGTGGAGGACTATGCGCAAAACTACAAGAAAGAAGAGCGCGAGGTCAGCCTGGAGATGGACCGGGCAAGGAGGAGGCTTGACAGCGACCTCAAGACACTCGTAGAGCGGCTTCGTGAGATTGATAGCGACAGGATTGGAGCTTCTGCACCTGGTACATCAATTGGGGCGACGATGGAGGAAGGTGCCTATGAGCCATTGAGAGTAGGAGGTATCGACCGTCTTTTGATGAAGCTGGACTGGAGCGGCGAGGACGAAGAAGAGGAGACCGAGGACTTGATCGATCTTTAAAGTACATGGCTTTGTCCTCGTCAAACGTTTTCAGGGACTACTATCTTCGCGATCCTTGTTGGCTCTTGGCACTGTATCATGACCAATGTGGTAACGGCGGAAAGCGCGTTGATTGCGCGGTCGCGATGCCTCCGCATGGGACGGACTTTCTTCTAATGTCGACATGGGTGAGTATCGTCCAGGCATCATTTAGGTCGCCTCCCAACATTCTATCATCACATTCGTCACACCACATCATACCGCTTCGACAGCTTATCAACATTACTCTCTTGCATCAATACTGTGTATGTACCGGTGTTCACGCCCACAATTCGATGCTAACAACGCTAGGTCCGCTCAAAACAATTCCCTCCAATCCGCCTTCGTGTTCAACTTGACTCGATACGATCACTCCGCCGTAAGAGATCCCGCCATGTCTTCAGATCGCAATTCCGCCCGTTCTTTCCTTGGATTTGTACGGGGTACCGGGAAACGTCTCCCCGTCGAATGCGACGACCGTCCAGCATGTCTTCCAGCCACGTCAAACGAGGCATTGCCTAGGAGACGCCATTATATCTACCCGCG